TTGATCAAATTTTCCCCCTTGGTCACTCATGTTCTTGGTTTTCTTTAATTTGATGAAAATAAAGGTGAAGCAATATTTTTGTGAGTTAGAATGCCACCTTGCAAGTCCTATAGACAGCATTTTTTTTTAATTTAAAAAGAGATTCTAAATCTCACAATGATGATTATAAAAAATAAAAAATTGAAGAGTTGAAATAAAGTCCTCACGATCGCTTTGAATTGACTCATATATCTACCAATTAATTAGTGATTTTGGGAATGTAGGTGTAATCTTCAGTTCCTGTCCTGGATTTTGGAAACAATGGCTCCAAGACAAGTCTCGGTTTTCTTCAACAGGAGAATCCAAGGGAAGACCCAATTATACCAAAGAAACGCACTTACACTCCTAGTTTGAATCCTCCGTCGATAATCAAGAAGGCAATTCGCGATCTAGTTATCTTTGGCAAGTTGATTATTGTCAGTTCTTGTTACTCTGCAATCAAATTATATTAGGGGAATGTACTAACACTTATGGTTTGAAACCTCTGTCTATAATCAAGAAGCAATTCATGGCGAACTTATATTTGACAAGTTGATCAAGAATCGTTACTCTTTTGACACAAAAAAGGGTTTAGAAAATCCTTTTCTTGTGTCGAAGACTAGGAAGACGAATAATCTCTTCTAGAAGAGATTGTTTGTTTCCTATATATCCCTTCTATTACCCGATTACTTCTGTCAGGTATCTAATTTAATCGAATTCTATTTAGATGATCCATTTTATAACATTGAAATCGGGCAATAGTAATATTGTCCCATCGCCCCAATTTAACTAAAAAAAAATAAAGAAATAGGGTGAAAGTCAAATAAGATTTTTCAAAATCTATATACTATGACTAGCAATGCGACGAAAGAAATTCCCAGCATCTCGTAGAAAAAGTATAAACAAGCACAAGTCTCTGCAAAGCTTTTACCGCTCTATACTTTGGAAGCGAAAGGGACACTAAGAGCTTGTTTTAAGCTTCTTTTGCGTTATTTTTCTAATTGTAAGTAATCTTCATCTCTTTTATATATCAACAAACATATATAAATGTGGAGGAATTGGTGTACATGGTCAATATACCATGTAACATGCTAATTTTAAGATATCTAGGGTCGACCTTTATCTAAGCTTTTGGTTAATCATAGGTAATACCTTCTAAGGTTTAGTGTATTTCATTTAAACCGTTTGGTTATTTAAACTCATAAAAGGAATTGTGACCCTGTTTTAGGTTATTCTTCACCTTACCCTTAGTATTAGTTTTTAGGTAATTGACCTCTTCATTGATAATAAGGTAATTGTGATATTAAAACAACTAAAATACAAAGGTGTACCCACATCATTATAATTTCTTTTTTTTTTTTAAATACCTTAGTCACGTTAAACCATATGCTATATCGAAAAGAAAAAGAAAAAGGTATGAAAGTTAACACATATCAAACTTTTCTTTTAATTTATAGGGTTTAAAGTTAAAAGCACCGTTGCCATAATATATAGTAATTCAAAGGTTTTGAGTGAAAAAAAAAAAAAAAAGCCTAAAGCATGTCTTTCATTCTTAATATGAAAGTTTCCAATTTCAGTGTAGTAAAAGTTCTGTTCAGTGGCTTGGATTAGTTATTTGGATACTTTTAATACACAACACAAAATAATTCTCCTTAATGAGTTTCCATCTATTTTGCATTTTAATGGAAATCAGTGTATTGAGTTCTATAGGTCCTGCCATCCTTGTACAAAACATATTTTCTTGGAAAACATGAGAATAATGGATGAAGACATTTTAACCTAGACAGTATACATGCCATATTCATTCCCCAAATTTAGTTGTGTATGTGTAAAATTAAGGGTATGTATAATGGGTGTTCAATGGGCACTCGTTAAAATATATTTCAACCGTTAGACTTTTAGAAATGTAAGATTAATTAGGAAAAATATATAAATCTAAGGAAAAATAATAATCATCAGTATGTACATGGTAGTAATAATTGTTAGTATATATATATATATATATATATATATGATAGATTAGGTAGAATTTAGATGCGTTAATAAGAAAACGCTAAAAAATAATATACCAGCCTTCAATTTTTATTTTTCCATGTAAGTGAAAATGGCAAGTTAAATGTACATTGCCATGTATTATAAGAAGGTAAGTGGCACGGTATTATCTTCCATAGAAGGAATAAAATCTGTTGTAGATGAAATTGACATACAATCCACTAAATCTTGTTACTCAATGTCACTGAACATGGACAATCCGCTTTTCCCTTTTGGCTGAGTCTCATCAATTCGGCATTAAAAATGAATCAAAAATAAATCAAGAAATGACCCCTATATAAAGGACCACCACCAGCCTCACATCACTGCACAATAGTTGATAGTTGACTCTTGATAGGTAAAGCAAGAAAAATGGCTGTTAAAATGAGTAGCAAAGCAACCATTCTGATCTTTTTCATGATGTTAAATTTCTGGGGATTTCTCATGAGTTGCAATGCCAGAATTATTGTTGAGAATTATCCCTCAGTTGACAGCAAAACTCTGTTTCATAAGCTGGGCTTTGATGTCGCTGAATACCAGAAGAAGAATGCCCGATTGTTGAGAGAAACACCGAGCGGACCTAATCCTCTTCACCATGCCACCCCACCACAGCCACCAGCCATATGATAGATGTCTTTGATGTATGTATAAAGTATTCAGGGTTGCAGGCATATGTTTGATCTTTTGATCCCCTGTAATAGTAATACTTAATGGAACTGAAATTCCCTTGTAATACGTCTTGGTTTTGGAGTATTTATGTTTGAGTTTGATGCGATTATGTATGGTTGCTATATATATATATATATTGTAATTTTTGTGGACATCTAGAAATCAAATTATATTTATACATTGAGTTGATACGCACGAAAAAACTTATGATAATACACTAAATTATGTAAGAAATATATTCCAAACCTATAATCGCATAAAAATCTCAACTGTACTTCCCTGTACGTGTCTCCATGCAAAAGGAATTCTTGAACATGGAGGAAAGCAACATCACTCGACGGGTTTATCAAACTTAGAAGATTAGATAAGCATTTCCATCATTTGACAAATTATCTCGAATTGAAATTGTTGACATTCGTGAAATTGTTAGTATGTTCCATTTAAACCGTTTGGTTATTTAAAACTCATAAAAGATATTGTGACCGTATTATTCCTCACCTTACCCTTAGTATTAGTTTTTAGGTAATTGACCTCTTCATTGATAATAAGGTAATTGTGATACTAAAACAACTAAAATACAAAGGTGTACCCACACCATTATCATTTTTTTTTCTCTTTTAAATACATTAGCCTGCGTTAAAGCATATAATACATTGAAAAGAAAAAGAAAATGGTATGAGAGTTAACACATGTCAAACTTTTTCTTTTAATTTATAGGGTTTAAAGTTAAGGGTGCAGTCGTCATAATAGCAATTCAAAGGTTTAGAGTTATATATATATATATATTTATTTATTTATTTATGTTATATATATATATATATATATATATATATATATATATATAAGAGCCTAAATCATGCCTTTCATTCTTAAGGAGTAAAAGTTTTGTACAGTAGCTTGGATTAGTTATTTGGACATTTTTAATACACAACACCAAATAATTCTCCTTAATGAGTTTCCATTTATTTTACATGTTAATGGAAAACAGTGTATATGTTGAGCTTTTATAGGTCCTGGCATCCTCATACAATACATATTTTCTTGGAAAACATGAAAATAATGGATGAAGATATTTTAACCTAGACAGTATACGTGCCATATTCATCCCCTAAATTTTAGTTGTGTACATGTAAGATAAAGGGTTTGCTTAATGGGTGTTCAACCGGTATTCCTTAAGATATATTTTAGGTGTTAGATTTTTAGAAACATAAGAGTAATTAGGAAAAATGTATAAATGTAAGGAAAAATAATAATTGTTAGTATATACATGATGGTAATAATTGTTACTACGCATATACATTATAGGTTAAGTGAAATTTAGGTGAAATTTAGGGATGTTAATAAGTGCCCAATAAACACCCATTGCGAAAACGTTAAAAAATAATATACCAACCTTTATTTATTTTTTCCATGTAAGTGAAAACGGCAAGTTAAATGTACATTGCCATGCATTATAAGAAAGTAACGGCACGTTATTATCTTCCATAGAAGGAATAAAATCTGTTGCAGATGAAATTGACATACAATCCACTAAGGGTACGTTTGGTTCTACAGAATTAGAATTGAATTAGAATTGGAATTCTATAGAATTTGAATTCTATGAATTAGAAATCCAAATCCTTGCAATTCTTTCGTTTGGAAAATACATAGAATTGATACGGAATTTATTTGGAATTCCAAATTCTTTGTTTGGATGAGAGAAGAATTCATTAGGAATTAGAATTGTTTCCAACTAATATTTCCTTACATAAAAAATTTCTTTTTTTTACTATATAATAATTTTTTAACATTTAGCTAATTGTTACTAAAGCTTTAAGGAAAAAACCAATTAGTACCTTTAATAATTTATTTTTTCTTGCATTTAACTAATTGTTAATAAAGCTTTAAAAGAAAAAAAATTAGTTCCTTTTTTGCAAAAATAAAAAAATTCTTTTTTTTAAATTAAATTATATTAAATAAAAAATAATTGTATATTCTAACTTAAAAAGTAGTTAATATTTATCGAGTTAAAACCTTGATACAAATTTAAAGTTAAGAACTTTAAATTTTAGAAAATCAAAAGCCTACTCTATGATATGAATTGGGAGGAAAGTCATAACTTGTACCTATTATAAATATTTGAGTTTTGTATCTTACAAGAAATTTCAATAGATGAATACACAAACAACGTGTTTTTAGCCAAAAAAAAAAGAGAAAGAAAAGCACAGTTATACATTGCTACTATTTTTCAATAAATGGCCATTCTAATATTAAATTAAGTTCGAATAAATTCCTATCAAATTTCAACTTCCATGATGGCCTTGTCTAATTTGATAGTCAATAAACATTGCTCGTGCTAAAGCATTCCTAAATTGTGTCCACTCGCTAGTTGGTTGTACTGTTCGAATTCGATTCTCGTTAACAGCATTTACACCACCATCATTATTTGGACCATCATCTTCCATTCCATTTTCCTCATCTTCATCTTCCATTTCATCTTCATCATCAACCTCATGTTGTACTCTTCGCATCTCAGCATCAACTTCATCCAAGTAAGGGTCATTTGGTTGTTCTACTCGAATAAGATTATGAAGGATGGCACATGCATTAATTATCATGACATGAGTCTTAACATCAAAAAAAGATGCATCTCTCAAAATGGCCCACCGCTTCTTGAACAAACCAAATGTCCTTTCAATCACATTTCGAGCAATTGAATGTCGAAGGTTGAATAACTCTTTAAAATTTTGAGGCTTCCTCCCACTAGCAGACCACTCGCTAAGATGATATCTAACTCCCCTATATGGAGCTAAGAAACCGGAGCTATTTGCATAACCCGCATCAACAAGAAAGTACTTGCCTGTAATGTTAGACAACAAATTATTACTCATTTATAGTGTTAAATTCTACATAGTCAATTGAAGCTAAAATGATAGCTAAAAAGATTAATTATCTTCTCCTTGAAACTCCTCTATATATGTGTGTGTGTGTGAGATAAAGATAGCTATTTACAATTTCCTAACTAGCAATGAATTGCAGGGAAAGCCCAACTGTTACACCACATAAGCTTTAAAATATGCGTAACAATTGATTATATACAGAAACATACACCAAAGAACTGCAGGACAATTGTTCTAGTTAGTGTCAAAATTGAACCGTTATTACCAAGCTCAATAGTTGAAACATGAAAGCCAGAGATAGAGCTATAATTTTCACATCAAAAACCTATTCACAACATTCTAAGTGCTTGAAAATAAATACCTTTATAAAACCACAGATACAAGGAAGACTGAAGTGACGATCTTCAGCCTTTAAGCATGCCCAACTTCATGTCAGCCCACAACTTTGCTATCAAGAAGAATGCACCGACTTCACTTAAATGCAGGGCAAGGTTAAACAAGCCTTCCTGTAACATATTAGGAACAATCAAACACATTTAAATATACGCTAAGAGAGAGTGTGTGAGAGAATTTATGACAGCATTAAATAGTCCAAAACAAACATTCATCACATTCCATGTCCATTGACGAGAATTTAGCAGCCTTGAGCTGATACATAAAAGATTTTTCAGGCCCTGACAGCAAGTTTTTCAACAGCCACTGCAGTATAGAACTAAAAATTCGCTCTGTCAAAGTAAATTTGTGATTCCTTCTATGATTCTAGATACTAAGTTAAGAAGAGTATAACTGGTTTTAAGAAGATTTTTTAATCTGACACTTGGTCATAACAGCCAACAGCCTTGGAGTGTGAACTGGAGACGTTATATACTTGATCATAACAGCCAACAAATAGATTTTATAAAAAGGGTGTAATCTGCATTCTCTGTGTTTATGATCTCAGTGTCTTGAAGGAGGATACTTTAGCTTCGGATTCAGCATTTCATCCATTATCAGTCTTAAACATGTGGATATGATTCACGAAGTCAGGTTCTTAGCCAAGGCCACTTCCTGATGTTTAGAGGTCGAATCATTATAATGCAGTGAAATTTTAAACTTGTAGCAGTAATTTTTTGTAGACAAAACGTTCTTGAATGAGATAATTTTTCTGCCTGTAATGTGAATGTAGATCCTAGAAATTATCTCTTGAATATTCAATCTACAAAGAACCATGAACAATGTATTACAAAGCCACAAACAAAAGGGGGAAAAAAAACTGGATACTAGTAGTGTTTTTTTTAATGTCAAATTCAAGAAATGTTATGTAAATACAGCATCAGGAGCAAGCTTAAAAGTTCAAATACAGAGGCAAATAACTACTTTAATCATTCATTACTAATTACATCAGAAGTGAATCAACGAAGTGAAATACAACTCAATAAAAGATGCATTGTCCAAATAGAATGAAATTATATAATGCAGTTCACGTGATCAGATTTAGGAATCACACAAATGCAAGGAAAGGTATAATTATTTCTTCAAAATACCAACCAAGAAAAAGAAAAAAAAATAAAAAAAAAATTGCAGCCCCCTGTATGCAGAATGTCTGTAAATAATGCAATCCAGGATCAGAATCATCAGAATCCCAAAACACTCACTTTTTGCAATTGAAAGCAAGAGAAGCCTTCGCAAGCTTCTGTTTCTACCGTGAGAGTAAGCGGTAAGCCACTCACTCAATCCTCATCAACTCATCCTTCAAAAAGCCTCTACTATTCCATTTGTTATTATTATTATTTAATTAATTTCACAAATATTAGGGGAGCAAATGCGATTCATAAGTAGCAGCAGTAAATTTATTTTTTCTTTAAATAAAAAAACAAATATCGATCATAATCCAAATCCCACAACACAATTCAAATCGTCGGATGTCCAGAACCATCAAGTTACAGAAAACTTCATTTGACGAATATAATGCAGGAAGAACGTTGAATGTAAAGGAAAATGCGCTTACCGTTGAGTTGAGCAGTAAAAGATATTTGAGAATCCTCCCCTAGACGGCTTCAATATATACAAAATATTTGAGAATCCTGCACTTTGTTCGCGATTGCTGAGGTGATGGGTAGATGCGTGGCAGAGCGATGCCGGAGACGGTGGTGGAAGAGGGAAAATGTTAGGGTGGAGGTGAAGGGGATGACGCAGAGCAATTAGATTAGAGGTACTTGCGGTTGAGGAAAAGTGTCTAATTAGATAGCGAGAGAGGGCCGCTTACCTAGTTGACCCGGTTTTAATTTTTTACCCGCTAGGATCCGCGTACTAACCCGAATAGGAGGTGAAATTATGGAATTAGAATTGTAATTCTTAGGTCTTACCAAAGAATTGAATTTGTGGAATTGATGGCTCATAGAATTCAAATTGAATTCTAATTCTCTCACATAGATAGCGTCCAAACCGAAGATTTGGAATTGATGCTCCAATTCTAATTCTAAGCCTCCAATTCTATGGGAACCAAACACACCCTAAATCTTGTTACTCAATGTCACTGAACATGGACAATTCGCTTTTCCATTTGGCTAAGACTCATGAATTCGGCATTAAATATGAATCAACAATAAATCAAGAAATGACCCCTATATAAAGGACCACCACCAACCTCACATCACTGCATAATAGTTGATAGTTGACTCTTGATAGGTAAAGCAAGAAACACCGGGCAGACCTAATGGTCCTAATCCTATTCACCATGAAACCCCACCAAAGCCACCAACCATATGATAGGTGTCTTTGATGTATGTATAAAGTATTCAGGGTTGCAGGCATATGTTTGATCTTTTGATCCCTTGCAATAGTAATACCTAATGGAACTGAAATTCCCTTGTAATAGTAATACGTCTTGGTTTTGGAGTATATATGTTTGAGTTTGATGCGATTGTGTATGGTTGCTATATATATATATATATATATATATTGTAATTTTTGTGGACATCTAGAAATCAAATTATATTTATACATTGAGTTGATACGCACGAAAAAACTTATGCGTATAACAAAATTATATGATAATACACTAAATTATGTAAGAAATATATATACCAAACCTATAATCGCATAAAAATCTCAACTGTACTTCCCTGTACGTGTCTCCATGCAAAAGGAATTCTTGAACATGGAGGAAAGCAACATCACTCGACGGGTTTATCAAACTTAGAAGATTAGATAAGCATTTCCATCATTTGACAAATTGTCTCGAATTGAAATTGTTGACATTCATGAACCCTGTAAAACCATATATATGCGTCCTGAATTTGGATAAGGCAGGCTTAGTAAGTCATAGATTAGACACAAGAGTGACGGATTATCCCTAAATGATACTATACAAATATACAATACAAGTTTCAATCCAAACCCACTTTTTCTGCATATATATATATATATATATATATATATATATATATATATATATATATATATATATATATAATCTTTATTTGTGTCTTTTGTTGTAAAGGTCTTTAGTGCAATTATAGAGAGGCAGGCACAGTTGTGGACATTGCGACTAGGGCAAAACTTTCATTACTAAGCACAAAATTGTGTATCCTAATTGGTAGTTGAGAATTATGATTCGTGAGAGATGTGACACAATTAGTGACGTCTCATTCTACTACAATATTGCCTGCCTTTACACAAAAGCCATAAAAAAAGATAGATTAAATCTTATATACACGGTAGGCTAATACGCTATCATAGTTAGATGAACGACACATGAGCAAATTTTGAATTTTAAATTTAAATTTTACACATGTGTCATATATCTAACGGTGATAGTATATACACTGACAATATATATAAGATTAGTAGAGTTTTGGTCCAAATAAAAAAAAGTAAAATAGAAAAAATAATAATTGTATCGTAGTGAAGCATATACAGTTGACTAAGCAACTTAATTTGGCCATTAAGCTAGGAAGGTGCTTCTATAAGGTGGATTACGCACTTACAAAGTTCTTTTCCATACTTGACTGAGCATGATTATACATAATTATATGAGACTCAGCTAGAATTTATGATTGTTAATTAGGTGTAGCTGCCCTTTGGCCCTCTTTTGTCTTTAACATTCAAAAATTTACTTATTACCTTTCTCCTTCTATTAATTGCATTGTCAAACTCGTTTATTATTATTATTTTTTTTTTGCAATTTAATGATAGTTTACCAACGCATTTTTCATGAACGCGCATATACTACTCCTCATTATCGCCCTAAGACATGGTTAATTAGCAATATTAATTACCAAAAACGTGGCATATATATATATATATATATATATATATATATAACAGTTATCAGTCACATCTTCTGACTTCAAAATGTGAACATAACTTTTATTCTGTGAATTAGTCAAATGTGTCCTTATCTTTCCTCGCAGGCTCCAAGTATACATTTCCTGATCAGCTATGATGTGCTTTCGGCCGAAACTGCAATTGTTATTGTGATGCACACTTGGATTTTGCTTATGCTCCTACTGCTATCAGCAATAGATATAAAGTGATTACCCTAACTGGAAAGACTTTAGGGTCCATATATTTTGTCTCTTTTCTTGAAGAGGAAAATTGATTCCAAATTTTAAATCTTCAACAACAGACACAAAGCAGTGACCATATATAGGAATCATGGTTCTTTTATTTTAAGCACAGTCTAATGTATTAAAATCCCAACTTCTTTTTTTTCTTGGCCTTACATTGGCCCCAATTTGAAGTGATTGTACTAGTATATTCATTTCATTATTTCGTTGCTTTTCCAAGTTCAACATCATATGGGAGCCAATTAGAATCATGAGTTTGGATAATCTAACTAAGTAGTCCAACTTTTCCAACTTTGTACGTGTCAATAAATTCATGGAAAACTAAATTTCTTGGTTGATTGATCAAGTTTGTGATGATCACAACACTAGCTTGATCAATGCTCTCTAAAGACTAAAGGTCAGCCATTCATATATTTGAGAGATGTTTTTATTATTATTATT